ATGAATACGTTTTGTTTTTAATCCATACAAAAGAGACGTTGTTTGAAGCGTATTGCTGCAGTGGAACGCCGTTTTGATCATATGTATACAGAGATATATCAATAGGTGTTATTTAAAACATTATGACCCGCGGAATGGGTTTCAAATGTTGCGAGATGAGGATATAGAGAAACATGTCAAACTGCATGTAGAGTTAGTGACCAAAATGGATAATATGTATGCCGACATTATGTGCATTCGAGTTTATGAATAAAAAGAAGCAATATCTATAGTTTACACATAAAATGGTTTTATTTCCAGCTATTTAGTAAAATCTTCGGCCTTCGAGTTTGCGTGAAACCCCTAGGCATCATATATATTCCCGCTGATGTATCATTTAATGCAACCTTATCCAAACATTTTAATTCTATAAATTTTAAAATACAAACATGGTCTTTACTGAATACGACTGCGGAATGTGTTGTCATCTATGGAATTGGCGCTAGTTGCATTGGACAATAAATTTTTCTTCCAGAATTGATTGGGAAATAGGAAAGAGGAGAAGTGTCTTCATCGGTGTCACCGCAACCTTTTGTCGCCACCAAATGAACGTGAGACGATGTCAACATCATAAAACTCATCGGAATCGACTGAGCTAAATGATTTCTTTTGAATTATTCCATTGATTTTTACAGTCCCTTCTTCCAACAATGCAGTTTGATACAAATTCATAAAAAAAGTTTCACCTGGTTTTTAAATTTCGATTGGTTTTTATAGCTTGAATTGAAGGGACATTGAAAGAAGAAGCAAAATTTATCGTGAAGATGACAAAGATGTTTCATTTTTATTTATTCTTGAGTTTTGAGGAAGTCAATGACGCAAATTGAGTGATATGCACAAGGATAGCGCCATCCACAATTGTTAGAAGAAAGTTATGGTGCCAAGCGTCAAGCTTCAAAGCATAGGAATACGTTAACAATTTTACGGAGTCCGTTCACAGAGTTTAATAAACCAGGTTCATAGTGTCGGTTTTTCTGTTTTGATGGCTTATGATTTTTAGCAACATCGAATGGTTTTTTTGAATATGTTTTATATAAAAACATAAACCTGAGTTTTTAATGAGTTTGTTTCATGAAAATAATTTGGTGAAATAACATTTTTCTTCAAAACAATGAGACAAAATTGAGCAGTATGAAATATTTTGATTGAGTCGGTGCAATCGTAAAGCCGCTAAACTTTGGAGGTTAGCTTGCCGTTCTTTTGTGGCATGAAAAATTCATCGTTGGCATTGTTTAGATCACGATCATTTTCATGTTTGATTACCACAAACAGCACTTACAACATATTTTGTGCATCTTTTTCACACAATTTTCATCGCATACTTGCAAAAATGATAGAATATCATAAAATTCATTTCTTCATTTGTTAAAAGTCATTGAAAACCGTGGTTTACTGAGTCAGTAGTGATGGGCAATATTTACCCACCCGAATAAATACCGGGTATTTACCGGGTATTTATCGGGTATTTACCTGAAGGGCAGATCAAAATCCATGTCTGGAATTATTATTATGCCACAGGATTGTTTAATTTATGCACATTCATGAAAACATTACTATATAAACATCATTCACGTTATAATCACGTAAATATTTAAATGTATCACTGACAGCTGTCATCGAATGTAAATATGCGTAAAGTTGCTAACGTTCATTCAATAGCTTTACCCAAAGCAATAAAACTTACACTTTTGTACACATGTGAAGTGACTAAGTAATATTTTCAATTTGAAATTTTCTCTCTACAAAATTAAAATATTATTCTCACACAAATTAAAAGTTTCTACATATTGATCTATCAATTAATTGATATCATTTTTATTTTTTACAATTTTTAAGTGAATATTCGCTAATAAAAAAAGAAATATTCATTGGAATAATTCCATTACGATGTTAGATGGCGCTGTTAGTTGTGACATAAATGCTTTACGTATATCACATACAGCTAGTTTGCATCATTGAAAAGGAGTCTCCACCGTGAAGAGCTGTATGAAGTTCTAGTTATCATTGTTGTTCCCACCAAATTTTCTAATCCAACATCAGTTGAATATTTTCAGTGTTTTATTTTTGTTAAAAAATGTCTGAAAAAAGTGAACCGAGCTACGCACAAACCAATGGGCGACAAGAAAAAGAAGATACTTCCGCAAGTGTTGGATCATCGACAGGCAATAACGACCATTGGGCTTTGTTACATGATTCTCAATACGGTTTATTTCTTGCTTCGCCTCCCGTAAAATCCATGAACGTTCTCCAGTCCGATATATGTAGTGGGATCATTTTTGGTCATTTTTCTAGGTATGTAGTACATTTCGAATAAGAAAATTTCGGAGAGTTTAAAATCAATTGAAAATTTTCAGAAAAATAAAAGAATTCGGAATCGGCAAAATGCTGGGGCCAATCCGAATGTTTGCCGAACAGTTGATTACATTGGATCGCGAAACAGTATTGATCAAAGAAATCCAAACGGAATTGAAATCAATGGTAAGCTTCTTTGTTCGTTTATTTTATTGATTTATGGTAAACTTTACTGTCTTTTATTTGTGTAGCGTTTCATCGATTTGATTGCCCAGTGGGAGAGAGCAACGGCCGAGGTCACCGTCGCCTTTGCTTAACTCAAGTGCAATGGCGTCATCACAAAACTCGTCGGAAGGTGTACAGTCCATGACAGAAGGTATGTTTTTTAACAGCATATTTTTCGTTGAAGTACAATGGTTTAAAGCAAAAATGGTTGTTTTCCTTCTTTTAGACTGATTCCACCCGGAAAAAACTCCAATGTCCACGATGCTATAACGAATTCCATCAAACAAAACCAAATTGACTGAGCCAAATGATTCCCTTTGAATTATTCCAGTGATATTCATAGTGCATTCTTCCAATAATAAATTTTAATACGTATTCTGTCATTTTTCTATGTACTTTTTGATTAAAGCCATCTCTGAAAGTTTAAAATCAATTGAAAGTTTCCAGGAAAATATAAGAATCTGGAATTGGCGCAATCAAATTGTTCGTCAAGGAGAGGATATCGTAGTTTTTGCTGCAATAAGGCTTTTTATGTTAGTCAGAATAAAGTAGGAAGTTATTGCATGTTAAAGTCTCGTTGCAGTGAAACGAAACCTAAAATTTTTTTCAAATTGGCGAAATATAAGTAGAATTTGTGCTATTTTAGTAAATATATTTTCTGATTTATTTGAAACTTGGCTAACATATTGACATGACATTCTTTTACGCCATGTGTACAATTTTATTCAACATCCATCTATTCGTCATACCAAATCCCTACAAGAATTTTGCGACAAGTTTACGCAAACGTATCGCCAACCTTCCGCAATAGTTGTCACAAAATGCATGAACTGCGATCAACTTCATTCGAATTCAGCATGTTGTATTTAAAAGGCTGCAATGGCTGATTATTCTACTTAATAATTATTTTGAATACGTTTTTTTTTTCTTATTAGCAACGATGAGCAACATGAAAAGTTTAAATAAAACCATTTGAAATTATGTTTTCAATGTAATGAAGTTGGATACAGTTCGAATTTACAGGTTTACGCAATGCGATATGTCGCAGATATGTCGGCGTTATGATTTTGCGTAAACCCGTACATTGAAAAACCTATCGCAATGCGGAATGTCGCGGGAAGGTTTTGCTTTACGGCGACATGTCGACGTAAACCTCAATGTATCGCAAAATTCTTGTAGGGAATATGTGTCTCACTTTGCCCCGGCCTCCTCTCTACATTATACAGTACACACATACAGATACACGCAAGGATATACAATGAACTGTATAAAACATGGCATCCTTAATTTTGTATGTGTCATATAAACAAAATTCGCCATGGAGAGTGTTTCGTTCTCGTGTTCTGACCATTTGAAAATATTCATCATTTTTATTGATGCCTTTATTTTTGGAAAACTGGGTAAAAAATATTTGTTTTTTAATATCGATGCGATGAGAATTGAAAATAAATTTCTCTTTTCTGAACATTTCAGAATTTTACAAGCTTGCATTCCTTCAAATCTATAAAGATATCACTAATGCAAGGAATGTTCGTGTGGGTTTATGCCATTCTAGTAACTTTAATATCAACAACAAATTTTGTAACAAATTTACAAAACTCGCAGCTGAACAGGTATGTGTTGTGTAGTTAGTTCGGACATGAATAAATTTCATTAATGAATACGTTTTGTTTTTAATCCATACAAAAGAGACGTTGTTTGA